GGAACTGCAATGCAGTGCCTAAGTTCTACCTATTGTTGTCATTGTTCCATACAGACTTGCGTATGACTATGAGACGTTTTCACGTAACTGTAGACAGAGACTTAAGGGCCACTAAACTACTTATAATTCACCACGCATATCGGTCGATAGTGTTCCTACAGAATTACACTTAAGTATAGTAACGAGTTCAAGTCCTAGGGAGCACCGGTCTAGCATGCCGTGCTCACAAAGCGAATACATGAATTGAAAGACAACAAGATTTATATGAAAAGTTCATATTTATTATAATACAACATTAGTTTGTTTACATATTAAGAAAATGGTCCATTTCTGCGATTACTTCTCCCGCTTTCGGATGCGCACAAGTTACGAGACCATGTCCATCGTTGACACTTATGCAGCACATTATTAACTACAAAAGGTGGAAGAGTAAACAAAAATAGAATTATGCACACAATATTACAGGATAAATAATGCTCTCACTCGCATTGGCTACCTGAAATAAACTAAAAAGGCTTTGTCAATTAGTATCCATCTGTCTCACGACTGTTTAAATATAATTCCGTAGAAAAAGCAACATTGAAATACATCACTGAGCAATATCCACCGATAAAATGCTGCACGTATAACCTAAAATCGAGAAAAGCCAAAGAACTCACGGGTTCCTTGACATCGCCAGCAACCGATAGGCCAAAAGACCGAGTGTATGATAAACCAAGCCTTGTACATGCACAAATAAGTAAAAGAAAACGTTAGAATACTCAAATTTTACATTTCTTTTCATCAAATATGCTTGTAAACAACGCATACCTCAAGCACACAAACCTGCAACGACATCACCTAACAAGGACAAATTAAATATCAAATTAGCCACCACTGTTCCAGCCAATGAAAGACAAGAAAACCTGAAGCGCGGAAAAATTAACACGTCATAGAACACATCCTCACCCCTCTCCGGCTGCTCGCTCAGCACATCTGCCGACCAACTCTGTCTCGCACTGATTGACACATCCATATCCAGAGTTTTGCTCCTATCTGCTTTTCTCTACGCGGGAGACCTCCGACGGTTGACAGCTCTAAGGTGTAGTTGAGGATTTATATAATCAAGAAAAGGACAGTTTCATTCCTATAATTTCGTACGTCTATAATTTGAGTATTTTGTGACTATTATAGTTTTTCTTCAAATAACCTCAGTTCTTTTTGTGTATATTAACTTAAGTGAACTGAATATCTTATATATACGTATTTGTTAGTACCTGTTCTGTCCTTTTAATTGTGTGTGTAGACATACTTAGTTGCTAGGTCCACTACAACCCTAGCATGAGTGGAGTGATGTTGACTTCATTAATAAACACGTTTTAATAGGTGCGGTAACATCAGGTTGCGGTCTTTCAAATAGCACACCTAATTCGGAAAGATCGTTCCTAAGACTAATCGAGTTTGCGTAGCATACTGATATGCCTATGCATTTTTCTGACTTATGAACAGAGGTCTTGGTAACATGCGTTTCCAAGAGCTTGCCACCCAACAACCCAATATCGCAAAATCTTTTACGTGATTATCTAATCGAACCTGTAATTCCGCTACGGTTTTCCCTCTGTTAATCTTATCCACTAATGGCCAGTTAGACCTTTTATCAACTTTCTGTTCCTGATTTGGGTGTATTGTAAAGAATGATATTCTTTTTCCCTTATTCTCTACTTCTACTTTTAATGGTCATCGAGAGCTTCCGATTGGATGGAATTACATTTTTCGGCTGTGACAACATACATAAATCCCGTTGGGTGATGATAAACGTTATCGTGATATATTATCGCGCACTGTATGGGTTATCGTGTTCACGCCTATAGAGGCGTTATAAGCGTTTATTTTTGTGAAAGTAGATTATATATGACTGGTTTCAGGCTTCTATAGCCGAAAAAGCAACATTTTCCAATTTAATTAAAAATTAAATTAATGGATAAAACAGTCATGATACCCCAGAGGATGTATTACTTCAAGAACTCATCGTATATAAGAAATTTAGCATAGAAAGACTATTATTTGCGTTTTAGAGCCGTAATGGTTTGTTATTTGCTAGTTTTTTGAGGATATTAAGGTTGAAAATTAACTATAGGCAATGGTTGTTTTCATAGCAGTTATCTTATGATAACGAGACATTTGAAGGAGAACTAGCCCACAGACACAAGTTGAATATACGTTTTGAGGATGCCAAACACTTTTTTATCATCATCCGTGATGATTGAAATATTCCATAACACATCGAAGAGAGCATGCGATGAATGAGACAATCTGCTGAATTTCCTGGTGATCATATCCATTTCGATGAAGTTTCTAATTAAAGTCGCTCAGGTGATTGCAATTTATAACCTAACTTATTGTGCCTGTAGAGATGTCATGCATTCCTTGTAAACACCCGATTAAACGACATGTTAAATTATTATTTGCTTAGTGCTATGCTTTATAAGAGGAACAATGTGTGACAGTGAAAACTGCCGAAGAATGCCGTTATGACCAAAGAATGAGAAAGGAGAATGGACCTTTTTCAGCAAAGGTAGGAAAATATAAAGCGTTTCACTTTTACATTACTTACTTCTAACTTCAACGATTTAGAAATTACACTTTATTCACTTACTTGCAGATGTTCGGTGAAGTCAGTCAACCTGGTCACAGCAATTACGCATCCCCGCAGTAATTACGAAAAACAATTGTGTGAAGACATTCGCTTATTATTTTTCATTAAATATATTTAACATCCTGCTTACCATACTTTTCTTATTCTATCTCAGTGAAACTAAATTTGTCATTATGACGAGATGTAGGCCTGATGTAACAATGAGACCTGAGAAAGTAATTGTAGGCATAATTCAACGTAAGCGAAATCGTACTAATATTGCTACAGCTCAACCTATTAAATTACTCGTCTCGTGTAGACTTCATTTTACACTATATGTTAACACCCGTAGTCATATGGATTGACATCACGCTTTAAGTGAAATAATAGTAATACACTACTTGTGATTATACTTAACTTCATACGAAATCAAACTCAACTGCAGGGCCTAAGTTGTATTCTTATTTTTCACATACTGAAGTTAGGTATTTTTGTCATTAGTCCCCACAGATTTATCTATGACTAGGAGACGTAATCGCGTAACTTTAGGCAGATTTTCAGACTTGACTGAAGTACTTATAATTCACCACTTATATCAATGGATAGTGTTCCTACAGAATTGCACTTACGTATAGTAACGAATTCATATCCTAGGGAGCACTGGTCTAGCATGCCGTACTCCCAACGCGAACACACGAACAGAAAGACAACAATGTTAATATAAAAAGTTAATTTCATTGTAATAAGAAAGTAGTTAATTTACACATTAAGAAAATGGTCCATCTGTGCGATTACTTCTCCCGCGTAATCTGCGGCAACCACATAGTGAGTGCAGGACAACTACATTGTTAGCATTAAATGACTTTCTCACTTTTTGAAATTCTCATAATGAATTCTCAAACTCCTCCCAGCTAAAGAAACGCCTTCCCAGCATTACTTCACCGAAAATTCCACTGACGTGTGCAATGCTTTCACTCGCATTGCCTACCTGCAATAAACTAAAAAGGCTTTGTCAATAAGTATCCATCTGTCTCGCAACTGTTTAAATATAATTCCGTAGAAAAAGCAATATTGAAATACATCACTGAGCAATATCCATCAATAAAATGCTACACGTATAACCTAAAATTGAGAAAAGCGCAAGAACCCACGGGTTCCTTGACATCGCCAATAACTGACAAGCCAACAAACCAAGTGTATGCTAAACCAAGCCTTGTACATGCACAAAATAAGTGAAAGAAAACGTTAGAATACTCAACTTTTACATTTATATTCATCAAAAATGCTTGCAAACAACGCATGCCGCAACCACACAAACCTGCACACGATATCACCTACCTAGGACAAATTAAATATCAAACTAGCCGCCATTGTTCTAGCCAACCAAAGCTGATAAAACCCTTAAGCGCGGAAGATTTAACACGTTATAAGTATATCATCACCCATCCCGTTCACATAGTCAGAATGACAACAGAAATTAGAGAATATGTAGGTGGCACGCAGCTTCGATAGGTCCTTCAGAACTCCAGGTCTAGAAACAGTGTTAGCTGCCGTAGAGACCCTTTTGGTAGATCCATATTATTATTTCAGGGTTTAATTGACCTTTTACCCGATGGATTGATGAGTGTGCAGTTACATGCCTCCACTGTGGGCTTGCAGTGAACGGCAACCCCCATTTTAGTTGTCACACTATGCTTTCCTGTCACAATCTTGCCAGATGGTGTTACCATGCTGAGCATCACATGCCTTCTTATATTCTTAGAACACTGCATTTAACCTGCATCCATTTCATGGTGCCAGAAATAACTTTTGCCAAGGTGAATTGTGACAAGTGCCACCCATTTCGCTTCATTGACTTTCTACTCGGGATCGTGGGCACAAGAAGTTTTACTATTTCAAGATTTGTACGTAAGGGTGTTAGGCAGGTTCCAACCTTGAATCAATCACTAGTCATTTAAACTACACTGCATCTCATCATTCACCAGAAAGTGTTGGCCAGGTCAGACACAGTATTCATGATGGTGAAAATCCATTAAAATACCCAAACAGAGAAAATAGATAGGAACAATAAACCGAATGGTAGAAAACTCGAATAATTAAATAAGCTGAGGAGTAAAAAGTTCTGCAGCCAAATTACTCAGCCAAGGCTTACCAGTACAGCTTCTGATACGATTAACTCATTAAAGCAGCAGTTCCTTCACAAGGTAAAAAAGCCAATGTTATTTTTGAAAGGCATACAACGAGGTAAGCGGCATGAAGACAGTATTGTAAACCATGGGATCTTCATCTTTCTATCTCGTGGCTGTACTTAACGATAATTATTTCTGTTCCATTATGTGATCTGATTGTTTTACCCAATCACCTACGTGACCTAGAATTAGTGGTAATTTAGTTGGTACGTTACTATGTCTTCTTCAAGTGCCCTTGAGACTGACTACATAACTTTAACTCGATTCATTCTTCAAGAGCAACGAAAATGTCCAAATGCAACCGGTGAACTGACACAACTTATGAATGGTCTTCAGACTGCCATAAAAGCTGTATCAAATGCTGTCCGTAAGGCAGGAATGATAAATCTGTAAGTTGTCAAATCAAATTGTGTCATTGCGTTTTTGAAAGTTCCATATGAACTGTGAAAAAATATTTCTATTTAAATTTTCATGGTTCACTTTTTCCCATTTAATCGATGTTTTAACGAAAATAGCCCACTTTTTCCCACTTTGCCCACTTTCGAGCGGAAAACTGCCCACGTTTTTACCTATATATCCCAGGCCTCAAAATATTTCTCCATCTGGGTTACCTGTCATTTGTTTAATCTTTTGCTTTTACTGGCAAAAGTAGGGAGGTGAGGTATTAAATTGTATGCATATTGTAATTGTTTACCTGTTTTTGGCGTTACACCTATAAATAAAGCACATACTTGAGTACCAATAGAAAATGATCATAGCAGTTATAAGATATAAGTATAAAACTTGGGTGCTGTGGTAGAGTATAACTCCATAATGGACAAGATTTTATTTTAATAAATCACACAGTATTGTACAGTTAAATATCAAGTTTGATATGATTATGAGCAATAGTTTGTGCTCGAAACGTCATCAGTTAATTTAACTGTATGACACTGTGTGATTTATTAAAATAAAATCTTATCCATTATGCAGTTATAAGATAATTCAGTGTTCCGGAATACATTATTTAACTAGTGTCATCTCCATTTCGGTATTGTATTCTATCTGCAAAACTCGGTGTTACCGTCTATGAATTTCCCAGCATTTTTTCAAACCATTATTCTTTACACTAGTTGCAATTACTAAAATATTACGCATTGTTTGGCTAAGGAAGCATTCAGTTATTCATACTGTAGTGAAAAATTTCAATATGGTATTATGTTTTCTAGTGGCGAGTTCATCGTTCCGCTGATCATGAACTTTGATGATGACTTTAAGTCACCATTATCCGCTATTGTTAATGTATGTTTATTTCCTCTTCCTTAAATTCTTTTATTAAGCTAAAAATTTTCCACATTCACAGAGCGAACAATAGTATAGACATATGTTTACTGAATATATCGATCAGTAAAACTGAGTAGTTTAACTGTAGGAGTTAGGAGGTTTTTACGAAACATTGTACTGTAGTGCACTCCGTTTGGAGATATTACTGAAAACTGGACGTAAATGTGGAGTAAAAATCAATACAGTAGAATAGATCAACATGTTGACCTCTTCTTAACCGGGAAATATTATGGTGCGTGCTTTCTATATCAGTGAGTCATAGTAAAGCATACAGACTTTTCGAAATAGAGAATGAATATAGATGTAGTATAAAGTTCAAAATAACTCTGTCAAAAGGGTAGTTAAAAAATGTGAATAGTTCGGCATGAATTCTTCCAAGATTGCAGAAACTCTGTACTGACAAGTGCCAACAGGCACGAGATCTACGTCCAAGCCTTCTTGATGAATCTCTCCAACCACCTAATAACAATGCAGAGCGCACTGGAAGGGTGAGCCCTCTAGCATAGTGACCACATTGCAAACATAACTGACAGAATTTAATATGCACCAAACGCAGGACTAAATGCATGACTTTAATTACTACTTATACTGAAGTAGCAAATAGTATATGACTGACTGACTGGTTTCAACATCGAAATTTGCAACACGGCTTTATCAGTTAATGAAATCTTTCACAGTTAGTTTGATCCACGTGGAAAGGAATAGACTTTTAGAGGCTAAGGATGTTGACGTTCACGGATAGTGCGATATATACTAACGCAAGACTTAATACCCACAACTTCTATGGTGTTCGTTCCGCGTAGACCAAAGGCAAAGCGAAACACCAGAATTGATCGTCCGAATCACGAAGTATATTTCCGGACCAAATCGGAGTGCAGGATGATTTCTTAACTAGCTAGGGATCGTGCACGAACGAACGAACGAAATAAACACGACGGCGTTCCAAATAGCGTGGATGGTTGACCGTAAGCAGTCAGCTAAACAAATTGACTTAAACAGTGAGGGCCAGCATCCAATGTTCATTGATGAATACTGTGGCTAATAATTCTGGGGAATTATCTACCACTACAAACTGCTTGTTTGGAGTCCTCGGGATTCTAAGAATCAATGACGGGAGAATATCCATCATATGGCTCAAAATCGTCCTCAGTGGCACAGATGCACTAACTCCTTGTGATCGGCGACATCTGATAAAACGTTATTGCTTTTCCATGTTGCGATTGCTCCCCTCTCCCCAACGTTCCTGCTTATTATCGTTCATTCGAATCTCTTCTTTTTCCTCTCTTTTGTCTTCCTTTGTGTGCTGCATTGAGTATGGCATGGCATCTTGGATTGCTGCACTTGTGTGAAAAGTTCTATGTCAAAACCAGTCAGTCAGTCAGCGATGCTAAAGTAAGGAAATACCTTTGATGACATCCTATCACGTTGAAGACTGTCAGTTAAGGCAGCAGATTTTGCAACTTATTACTTTGTATGGAAATATTCCACATCTTGAAGCTGTTTTCACTACTGTATGTTGTTCTGTTATTTAAAAAATATCATATCTATAAATTGTTTATCTTCTTTTTTGTATTATTTCATATATATAAAGTTATGGTCTAACTGGTTCAAGTAATGTACAAGGTGAAGAGGTTAAAAAGTTGGATGTTTTATCAAATGAATTATTTATAAATATGCTTAAGTCATCTTATTCAACTTGTTTACTGGTTTCTGAAGAAAATGATCAAGTGATAGTCGTAGAACCAGAAAGACAGGTCAGTTTAAAAAAAAGTTATTTATATATATATATATTCATGGATTTACTTCCAACTCTCATACCTTCGTTTCATAGTGAATCAATTCTGAACTAGATAATTCTGGATTAAAGTGTTAAATGCGAAGTGTGTAAATCCGCAAGCGAAGGTCAACTTCACCCACTGACTGACTGGTTTCAACAACATAGAACTGTGCACAGATGTCCAGCAGTTCAAGTTGCCATAGATCGAATTAGCTGTGTTTTGGTTTGACCACCACTAAAGGTCTCTTCCAACGCGATCGTATTGGATCTAACATTAGATGTCAAGGAAAGTGATGGCTAGGCATGCGTAACACATGTCCTAGTTATCTCAATCGATGTAACTTCACAACTTCCTTGGTTGATTTGACCTTTTTACCTAACACAGGATGCCTAGTTCAGTATTACTCCCCCTGTCTTATCACCTGACACGGGAGATCTAACATAGACACCTTTGATCGGAGACAGCTAGTCTTTTCATGCCTTCCACTTTCAACGGCCAATTCGCACAGCTATAATGGAGGACACAACGAACTACTGAGCAGTACACTCGTCCTCTCATCAATAGCCAGCTGGATATTACTTCTACGCCAGAGATGATGATAGTTGGCAAATGTCACAAGAGGTTTTTGTATTCGTACTGAGATTTCGTTAGGTATCAGCCTGTTGGAGCTGATGCAACTTCCCAAATAAATGAAGTGGTCAGATTACTCGACCACTACACTCTCTATCTTTAAGCAAGGAGTCAATGTAGTCTAGTCCTGAAGCATAAGCTTACATTTGGCAGGAGCAAATCAATCACATTCTGAACATTCAAAGATTTCTGCTCAAGGTGTTCAGAAGACTGCATTTTATCAACGCCTTCACCTAAAAGGAATATATCGTCTGTTTGTTTTCGACATAGAACTTTGCACCGATGTGCAGCAGTTCAATTCACCACACTCCATGTAGCACACAAAGCAAGAGAAGAAAGTAAAAGGAAATGCAGAGTTGAGGCAGTAGACAGGTATATGAGACAAAAGGAATATTTCGTCTGCATACTCTAAGTCAACGAGGTTATTCCCTGGAAACAGGTCTATCCGTAAGTCGCCGAAGTCAGTTAGAGTTAAGTCCAATAGTGCATATATGATGAAATTAAACACAAATGGGAACAGTGGGCATCCCTGACGTACACCACTGGTTGTCATCACTTCAAGTGACATTTCTCCGTTTGCTCTTACCTGGCTGCATCCGTACCACTAGTAAGCCAAAAAGATCTAGGTCAAGAGTTGGCTAGTTAACACACTAAATAGTAATCCTATCAGTGGGTGATTGAAGGTGATTGGCCACAGAAAGCCGTGCTTGACCTTGGTTTTATGCTTGTTGGCACTCACTAGTCAGTAAAGACGTATTTGCAACCTTGAAGGAATTACTCACTTCCCCTCTGAGATTCGAACCCGTGTCACCCAGTGCTGCCTGAAGTCAGATACGCTACCACTGATCTATTCGGGCTTGCAATTTACCTCGTGTCGGAGGAGATATGAGTTCCTTGAAGGCTGCAGATAGATACATCTTTCTGACTGGTGAGCAAGTGCCAACAGGCATGAAAATTAGGTCAGACTGGGCTTCCTGTGGCCGATTGCCTCCAATCCTATATAATAACAACAGTTCAGTGTACTGTGATGGTGAGCCACATAGAGAGGCATTTTGGCCACATTGCAAACTTGACTGGTAGAGTTCAGTCTACACCAAAAATAGGACTAGGTTGCTTACTAACTTGCTGTTATTATTGTTCTCTTGACCTCCGAGTGAAACACAGAGCTTCAACAGGGCGTCTCCCTTTTGTCATATTTTCTGCGGTCCTCTAGCTTGTCCCACTATTACCCTTACTCTCTCGTCTTCTCCTGACACGACCTCCTTCATGTCACCCTCGACTACACACCCCACTCGAGTGATGGCATGGCACACGATTTCATTCGACGGTCTCCTCACCGTGTGCCCAACCCACCTCCATTTTTTCCTACATATATGTTGAGTGACAGGTTATTGGTTGGTTTGTTCTCAGAGCTTCTTGTGGCTAATTCTTTCTGGCTAGCCATTTGATCTTCAAGATGGAACGAAGAGGACAGTTGTTGACAAAAGTCTATAGTAACCTGTTGCAAATGCTTTCCGTGACGCTCAGTGTAAGTTTCTGACCCTTACATAAGAACTGATTAAATATCAGTGTTGAAAATCTGAATCTTGTTCTTTATGCTGAGGCGGAGTACAGAAGATTTCCAAACTGGTCTCACAATGAGGAAGGTGTACCTTGCCTTCTCGATTCTGGCTTTGATGTCTTCATCCTTCCTGAGTGCCTGCAGTTGAAACTATGCTTGCTAGATAGGTGAAGGAAGTTAGTTACCTCTTTCAAATTTTTCCCTTTGATGGTGATTGGTGGTGGTTGTTCTTGTTGGTTGATTGGCGACCTTCCTCACCTCCGTCTTCTCTATGTCTTCGCTGCTTCTTCAGCCACTTGGTTGATTTTCGTCTGTAAGTCTTTGAGTTTGTGTCACATTAGGCATAAATCATCTGCGAAGTCCAGATCTTCTACGGTCCAACGTATTACCGTCTTCTCGCCTCCAATAATGTGATACATAATTCAGTCCAACACATTTAGGAATGTTGTATTATGTGCTCCCAGTTTAGCATTCCTATCGCCCATAAGGATCTTAATTTCGTCATTTGGAATGTTCTCCATTACTGTTTGCAGTTGTCTATTGAAATCTTCCTTTTTCTCTTGTTCTGAGTTGTTTGTAGACGCGTAGCACTGCATGATAATTGTAATTTCCGTTCCTTTTGAGTAAAAAACTTGCTGTCATAATCCTGGAGGAGATTGGTTCCCACTGCATTAGAGCTTTGGTTGCCACTGGTGACATCATGATAGCCATTCTCTCAATGTGCTCTTGGTTGTCGTCTGGATCACCGGAGTGGTTCACTGGGCAGCCTTCCAGGCCAGCTTCGTACACTGTACGAATATTCCACATCCCCATCCTTATTTTTGCTTTCATCGAATGAAGACACATTGTTGGGCTGGCTGGCTTCCCAAAGGGTGGCTTTCACCAATTCCAGCGAAGAATAATTTTTTTCTAATATTTTTTCTTGTGCATTGAAGTTTCTGTAACAGTTTGATTGACCTTCTGAGAGTAGCGTCGCTAGCATCACGCCCCCAACCTCCCTCCCTTGTTTTTTCCTACCTGGTGTTTTTAATCAAAGAAACTTATCTTATCAGCGACAACATACGCGCGTATGGATTCATTTCAAGCGTCGGAATTGTGTGTAAACTACAAGGGTTGTGACTATCCAATCCTCAGACCACTTCCCACTGCCTATCTAAACTGTCGTGACCAGCAGGGTGCAGCAGGTCGGGTGTGAGGACAAATACTCGCCGAAGACATTGGCTAGCGGTTGTGCTATATCGTGAATTGGCTATTGAGTTGGGTCCCAGTGGCTTAATGGTATACGAGCTCGCCTTGTAACCAAAAGGTCCTGGGTTCGAACCCCGGTGGGTGGGTACTGATAGAGAGTCTCAAACTAGGACGAAACAGCTGTCCAGTACTCCCTGACTGGTTTTCCAATGGTTCTCTAATTGATGTCACCTCAGGATAAAATCCTGTAACTAATCAACCAAATCCCTACAACCGATACTTGGATAAACTGTATTCGTTAGGGTGGCTGTGCCTATCCACATAAATCACCAGCATATACTATCTAGTATTTGAAGATGTGTATATGTATTAGGAGACACCAAGTTGAAAGTCATCTCACCGATTCGGTTAATTATGTTACACAAGTTATTTAGACAACAATTAAGGATACTTGTTCGTGGTAATTTATCATAACTAACTAAGGATTAACTAGTGTTAAATGACATACATTTGTCCTCAGTTTATAATGTTTATTTGTAATAAACAAACCCAATGTTAACCAAGTGTGTATGTTTGTATCCTTAAATTTGTGTTTACAAGTGTTTATGGTGAAATAGAATAATAAAACACTTTTGTTTTTCATGCTGTTGTTCCAATAAACAACAGTTATGGTGTATTACATGCATATTAACTGGTATGGTTGAATGCTGTACACCTAAGTTTTTATTTTCAAGTATTGATTTTTCCGTAGGGATTGTTTCTGCTTGGTTGGAGGGTTTCATCCTGAAGTGACATCAGTTAGAGAGTCATTAAAAAACCAGTCAAGGAGTACTGGACACCATTGTTTCGTCCCGGTTTTGGACTCTTCAACAGCGTTGTAATTATCACTTATTATTCATTCTCCGAGTGGAACATAAGGCTTCAGCATTCAACTGGGTCCACTACTCATAAACTTTCGTTTCCTTTTCACATGACCTTCACAGTGTGATCCTTGGACGCCCGACTACTCGCCTCCCATTTGGGTTTCACTCGAGGGTCTGGCTTGTGATATCACTTACATGTCTCCTTAGGGTATAGTCTGCTCTGTTTCCATTTCCTTTTGCATATTTGTTGGGTAGAAGACTGTTAACCTGTCAGAGTTCCGTGTTGATTTCCACCCTTGCGGTCTTCACTTTTGAGACAGTGAAGGGGGCTGAGGTTGGTGGCATACTTTAGTAACCTGTTCAAAATAGCCTTAGTGATACACTTGCCTAGTCTCTGAACTATACAGAAACACTGACTTAACATCAGTGTTAAGAGATTAAAGTGTTGAATAGCTCTGATACTTGCAGATATTTTCATGACAAGTTTGGAAGATGGTCCGTTGAAGTCGACCATTCATTGGGCAGACTTTTTCTGTACAAAAGGTACGCTAATGATACTTTTATCACTTGTGATAACAAATGTGACCTAAATGATGTCCTTCAAGTTCTTAGTAACTTGCTAATCAGTCGTGGAATTTACAATTGAAGTGGAAACCGGACAGGCAATCCACTTTCTGGACGTTCGTCTAACAAAGAAGACTGATGGAACTTTGAACAGATCAATATTATATAGAAAGCACATGTGGGACGGCCAGTTGACAAACTTTGACAATTAGACATCCATTGATCGCAAGTGGAACCTGATAATATCGCTTGCCACTGGGATCCGAAGAATCTGCAGTCCCGACTGAGTAGATGAACAGATCACTCAGAATGATTACCCCACCCGACCCCAACGCCTTACAGTCCAATGCCATTGTTGTTATTAGATATTTGAAGGCAATCGGCAGCAAGCCTTCGACTTAGGTTTCGTGCTTGTTGGCACTTGCTCACTATTCAGTGAGACATATCAGCAATCTTGAAGGCATCCATTTCCCCTCTACAGTAAGTCAACCATGAGGCCGGTTAGCCCAATGGTAACATCTTTGACTGCAGATACCACTGGGTGACACAGGTTCTGATCTCAGAAGGCAAATGAGTTATTCCTTCAAGTTTGCAGATACTTCCTGATGACGAGTGCGAACCAGCATCTTAGCGATTGCCTCCAACCTTATCCGATATCAACAATTCACAGCCCCCAAGGAAAACAGAAAGAAAATCTCCCTACCATATCTCAGATATCTCAGAAATCACTACAAGACTCTTCAAACTCTTAGTAATTGACGTCGAACACAAACCAACAAAATCACTTCCCTCAGTTCTATGTCAACCAAAAGACTCAAAAGCGAAAGAGGATAAAACCAACATCATCTACAAAATAAATTGTAACAATTGCGAAAAACACTACATTGGCCAAAGTGGACGTCCCTGCTCTTCGTCTTCGTATCCACGAACATAAGCTAGCCGTTAAAAGACATGACATCCACTCCCTCATATCACTACATACAGACAACCACGGACATCAATTCGACTTGGAAAACTTTCAAATATTAGACAGAGGAAACAACAAGAATGCTAGAGAATTTTTAGCAGGTGCCTGGCATTCCAGTGAATCATCAATCAATATAAACATCGAGATAGAAAAAAATTATCAACCGATAAGAAAAAAACCCCACATGCAAAAGGACAAAGAAACAATCAGTTCCAATACAAGTAACCTAAAAGATGTGAAAACACACAAAAACAACCAATCTCATCCAAGCTCACCAGGGGAGATTAATAATAAACTCGTGAAGAAATCTAAAAGCTCACTTCATTAAATTGAAGTATGCGCTAAAGGTGTTGCCTAGTAGGGCGATGAAAGCTTCGCAAATTAACTATCCAGCTCAGAGAACACAACCACATCAAAATCATTCACCTGAGCTACAAATCTTCTCTATCATATCTACAATTCACAGTACACGGCGAGTCACCTAGAGTGGCATGGTGGTCACATTGGTAACTTGACTGGTAGAATTCAGTATGCACCATTCGAAAGATTAGACGCGTGATACTAGTTAGTGTCCGATCAAAGAATACTATTTTTAGTTAAATCTTTTGCCACTATTATTATTATTTCAAGAAAGAATTAATATTCTATATTTATTTCTACCTTTCAGGGAAAGTATATTGTCTGTTTTGATCCGTTGGATGGTTCCTCGAATATTGATTGTTTAGGCTCAATTGGTTCAATATTCCTCATTCTGCGTTCACCATCACAAGGTGAAAAGGGTGGAATATCACCTAATATAGCCTTACAACCAGGTCGTCAAACAGTTGCTGCTGGTTACGCTCTATACGGAAGTGCTACAATGTTAGTACTGAGTGTTGGAACTGGTGTTAACGGCTTTACACTGGATCCAGTGAGTTGAAGTTTACTGTAATTATTATTATCATTATTATTATTTCATAAACATGGTTCTCTTGATGAATTTTGATCACCAGGTGTTAGTTTTAGAGGGATTTGATTGGTTGCATGTTTGCCCACAAGGTGATATTAGTTAGAAAACCATTAAAAGACCAGCAGGGAGCACTGGTCAGTTGTTTCGTCCTAGTTTGAGACTCGTCATCGGTACTCACCCACTCCTGGGTTCGAACACAGGACCTTCCGGTTACAAAGAGAGCTATTAGACTACTTATCAGCCACTGGGATCCGATCCAATGCCCAGCCGATGAATCCCAACTTCTGCCGATTCCCGATACATATACAACTTCACATTCCTCAGGAATTTGGTCTTCTACATGGACAAGGTCGCTTTGTAGTGTGTGTCGGATGTTTTGAAGAGAACTCCGATGTCGAGCTTATTAAGTACTCTTCTGATATCGTCTGACGTTTCTGATCTCTATGGAATGGCAACTATTGAGGTTCATTTCTTCGGAATAAGTGTTTTTGATCATATTTAGTGTCGATGTTGATTTTGTTAAGGAAGTTCTTTGAATACTTACTTTTCTTGGAAGTTCCAGTAATGTTTGATATTTCTTCTTTTTCTTTTTCATCCGTTATCAAATAGTGTGCTCTTCTAAGAAGGCTTGAAACAACTGATATCTTTTCTCTGACGGGGTGTAATGATCCGAAGTCTCTAAATATTTGTTGTCGGAGTGGGTTTTCTTCCTGAATGTAGATATATTAAAATATCCGTTTCCTTTCGTCTTAACTAGGTAGGTAGTATAGAAATAGTAGCTACTCAAAGTCTGGTTCTACGTAGAAATTTATTTATTTATTTAAACAGGAAGTGAAGAGCCATTAAGTAGAGGAGTTGCATTAGTAGAAGGAAGGTAAGGTAATAGGGATGAAGATGAAGACAAAGGTGAGTGAGGAATAGAGAGGTTTCGCGTGCTCTTCGACAGCTGCGCTCACCCTGAAGAAGCCTGGAAGAATATTCAATCAGCCATAGATACAGCTGTAAAAGCTGTGAATAAGGTAAATCCAAAGGTGAGTAAAAACCATTGGATTTCGACTGCCTCATCCGAACTGATAGATGCTAGAAGACTTATTCCGGCGAGCTCGGAATTCAATGAGGAGCGAAAGCTACACAAAAGGAAACTTACGAAAAGTCTCCGCAAGGACCGTGAACAGTGGTGGTTGACAAAGGCGAAAGAGATGGAAAAGCATCGGCGATAGGCAACACTAGGCAACTCTTTAGACTCATCAGGGAAACGGGTGGGAGAAGGCAAATCATAAGTGAGACTATCTCTGAGAAAAATGGCTCCTTAATTAGCTCTCAGAATAGACGCCTCGAACGCTGGAAAGAACACTTCTAGGAACAGTTTAACTTGCATACAGCCACACTGAGCCCCCCCCGCCATCCAGCACACACCCGAATGGGACATAGACACTGGCCCGCCGTCTGTAAGTGAGGTCACCAAAGCTATCTGTAATTTGAAACGAGGCAAAGCGGCAGGACCCGACGGAATTATTCCGGAGGTGTTTAAATATGGGGGTGACATACTAGTATATAGTTTAACTAAGGTACTAGGTAACGTCTGGGAATCAGAGACGGTTCCATCAGACTGGGGTAAGTCACTTATTATACCGATTTTCAAGAAGGGAGACAAGTCGTCATGTGATAATCATAGGGGGATCAGCTTAACGAACATAGTCTCTAAAATCCTAGGCTCAGTAATCATGAACAGACTAAGCCGAACTCGGGAGGAACAAACGAGGGAAAATCAAGCAGGCTTTAGGCCAGGTAGAGGGTGCATAGATCATATCTTCACTCCCCGACAGATCCTAGAACATAGACACACTTTTAGGCGTCCAACAATCGCCATATTTCTTGACTTGAAGGCGGCCTTCAACTCCGTGGATCGAGAGGTTCTATGGCAATGTTTGACTATGAAGGGAGTGCCAAGAAAGTACATTGCACTAATCAAGGCACTCTACTCAAACTCACGTAGCTGTGTAAGGGCTTATGGGGAATTGTCATCTGAATTGATAACAACCAGTGGTGTCCGTCAAGGATGTCCACTTTCCCCTTCTCTGTTTAACTTCATCATAGATATGCTAATGGAAGTATCCTTAACTGAACTTAACGACTTAGGAATCAACTTGTTACCAGGGAATAGTCTTATGGACTTAGAATACGCAGATGACATTGTCCTCTTAGAGGAGGATGCTGACAAAATGCAGAGTCTTCTGAACACCTTGAGCAGCAATCTTCATATGTTTGGCATGCGATTCGCCCCTGTAAAATGTAAGATGCTGCTACAGGACTGGACTACGTCAACTTCTAGCTTAGTGATTGGGAGTGAAGTGATAGAACATGTTGACCACTTCACCTATTTGGGAAGTTGTATCAGCACCAATGGATTGATTGGTGACGAAATCACAGTACGGATCCAAAAAGCTCGGGCTGCTTTCGCTAACTTACACCGTCTCTGGCGTAGGCGTGACATCCGGCTGTCAACCAAGGGACGTGTATACTGCTCAGCAGTTCGCTCCGTCCTTCTCTATGGCGGTGAGACGTGGCCATTGAGAGCGGAAGACATGAAGAGATTGTCTGTTTTTGACCACAGATGTTTACGATCTCTTTCTCACGTTAGGTGGTATAATAAGGTAAGTAATGTCGACGTTAGGCGTAGAGTGTTGGGCAAAGAGGAAAAATCACTCGAAGAGGCTATGAAGTTACATAGATTGAGATGGCTAGGTCACGTGCTGCGCATGTCTAACCATCGCCTCCCCCGACGGACGGGCATTACTAGATGATATAGGTGCAGGTTGGAAAAGAGTAAGTGGTGGCCAAACAAAAACATGGCATCAATCCATGAAATCCCTGACAGTTAAACTGAGTCAGGTAGGGAGATGCAGACTTCCGGGTTGGGGCCCTCGGGACTCTAAGAATCAATGGCTGGAGACAATAGGTGACATGGCTCAAAATCGTTGTCAATGGCGCAGATGTATTCAGTCTCTTTAACCTTCATATTCCTTTCTACCATTACTCATTCTGTTTCACTCTTATACTTATCTAAATTCTATTGATTCTCTTCTCTCATTTTCCTGTCTACCTTTGTGTGCTATTTGGAACGTGGCAACTGGAACTGCTGCACTTCGGCGCCAAGTTCTATGTTGAATCCAGCAGCAGCAGCATTTATTTAAACGCAGAAAAAACTTGGTACAATATGGCACCAAGAAAGATGCGCCACACAATAATAAAATAACATAGATTAAAAGTAAGAAATATAAGTAGAAAACGGATAAAGAACTTCATCTGGAAGGAAAACAGTCATGTTTAACAAGTTCAAACAGTATTCGTCAACTATAATCCGGAGGGGAAGAAAGAAGGAAATTACAACATGTTCGCCATTGATTACGATTCTTGGCCATATCCGATAACGTTTCGAGCCATCGATTCGAGCTATCTCGCGTATCCCAACCAGGGAGTCGTGACGCACCAACCGACGCTAATCTAGCACAAACATCCTTCATCCCACGACGCCACGTCATGGACTGACCACCCCTCCGCCTTTTCCATCCCGTCCCAGGGCTGGCTAGCGAACAGAGACCTGTACGGAAGTTTCTGGGACGACATTCGCAGCACATGTCCAAGCCACCGGGGCTGGTGTTTCCAGATGACGACACTCAACAAAATGGTGATCTCCACTGTGTTCAAACACACGCCGCCGAACCTCAGAATTACTCACGCGATGGTGCCATCGAACGCAAGCAATCCTGCGGAGACCGGTGATCGAACACGCAGAGCCGCCTCACATCCTCAGCTCGGAGAGGTCAGATTTTACAGACGTAGAGCAAGACAGCCCGTACTGAAGCATTGTATACCTGACTTATGACAGCCAGGCTAACGGCGCCAGAGGTGGCTCAAGTTGATGTATGCCACCCTAGCCTTCATGATACGGTTGGAAATCTCATCTGTCACCCCTCCGCCAGCACTCACACAACTACCCAGATACACAAACTTATCAACAACTTCTAGCGGTTTACCCGATAGACGGTAAAAACCAATGGTTGGAAACAATTGGTGACATGGCTCAAAATCGTTCTCAGTGGCGCAGATGCATCCACTCCTTGTGACTTATGATTTCCGATGAAACTGTTCGTTCTTCGTTTTTACTACTCCTTTGTCTCACACCTCTGTTTACTGTCTATATTATGCATTTCTCCTACTTTCTTCTCTTCCTTTGTGTGCTACATGGAGTGTGGCGACTTGAACTGCCGCACATATGTGCAAAGTTCTATGTCGAAAATAGACAGACATAGACATACAGACCCGCAAGAATGAGTGCAGGCGCAGGCTCCTGCTAATCTTGTAAAAGTACTTTGCACTTAGATGGTGCAAAGCACATACCATACTTACAGACACTGATCGCCAACTGATTGAGTGCGATTTGGGCAGCCTGCATGCTATCGCACAGTAAGACGATATCGTCTGCATACTCAAGGTCGAAAAGTCTATCTCCAGGTAGCAGATCTACACCACCTTCACGTACATCCTTCAGAGCTGACTCCAGAATGTCATCGATGGCAAAGTTAAAGAGAAATGGAGGGATTGGGCAACTCTGTCTAACCCCACTGTTGGTTGGGAACAGTGATGATAGTTGGTTGTATGCCCTCACTCTACCTGAGGTTTTTCTGTATAGGGCTTTCAAGATGTTAACAAATTTCTCAGGTACACCTCTCTCTAACAGACAGTTCCAGAGCACAGTTCTGTCCAACGAATCGAAGGCAGCCCCAATATCAGGAAAAAAAAATGTAGAAATGACTTCATGCTGATGAACGAGGATTAAGTTTTTAATTATAAACTCTGAGGTTCTGTAAATTCTGGTTTAATAATACTTTGATAAAGCTATTAGCAGCAGCATTAAATAGCGAAACGCTAGTATAATAGCTTAGTTATATTCACTGAAT